GCATAGCTTATTTCGAAGCAATTTTGAAATAGCTTACACAAAGCCAAATTTCAAAATTAAGCGCTACTCCAGCAAGCCCCTTGTGGAACAAGGGTTACAGAGATGCCAGAATAGTGTGCCCATTATTTTAAAATGCATGTAAAGATGTGGAATTGCTATTTCAGGATACTTCCAGTATCCCAAAATAACGCTGCTGTCTAGACATAGCCTTAAAGTATAACTAGGGTTTTAAAAGTTCATGAAGAATAGGCTATTAGCAAAGATTGTCAGTGACTCAACCCCATGCTGCTGGTGTCCCTAAATCTTTAACTCAGAGGTGGACAATAATTTTTATGGGGGGCCTCTGCAAGATTTTGGAAAGTGGTTGAGGGCCACACTCTTCCATTGTATTAATGCAGGAGATGCAGGGTCTGGGATGGAGACTAGGTGTAGAAGGGAACTTGGGATAAGGGATTGGGGTGCAGAAGAGAGACTAGGATTTGGGAGGGAGTTTGGATGAAGGAGGCAGTTGTGATCTAGGGTAGGAAACTGGGGTGCAGAGTTTTGGGACGTGACATAGAGTAGGAGGGGATTGTGATCTCGGGCAGAAGATTGGGGGTACTAGATCTGTGAGGAGGTATGAGTGCAATGTGGAGTAGTTGGGCAGGAGTAGGGGACAGAGGTTGAGGAAGGGAGGAGCTGGGATGCCAGAGTTAGGTTCTGGCCAGAATCTTACCAGCCAGCAGCCAAAGCAGCCTGCCTTTCTGCCTGCAGAGCTAAAGGCTTCCAGAGCTTAAAATGTTTTTGCCTGCTTGGCCATATGCTTGAGTGAGTAGCTGAGCAGGAGGGTTGTACTTTGCGGCTGCCTGTTATTCAAACAGGCAGATCTCATTGGCCAGTTTCTGTCCAGAAACTGGCCAATGGGATTGTGCTGGGGGAGGGAGCAGTATCTGAATCTTTCCCCATCTCCTCCAGACGCATAAAGAGAGAGTGCCCCACAGATGCATTTCTGAGCAGTGTGCAGGGCTGCAGGGCAAGCAGGGGATCCTGCCTGGGGCTCCCCACTGTCTCTACAGCCTGGATCTGGTGGCTCAGTAGGCCAGATCCAGTCCGTGGGCCATATTTTGTCCAGCCCTGCTTTAACTACTGGAAGATGGAACTAAACAATAGTCTGGGGATTGTTCAGAATTGCCCTGTTCTGTTCACTGCCCTGAAACAACTGGCACTGAGCACTGCCAGACACAGTATACTTATCTAGATTGACCATTGGTTTGACCCAATATGACCATTCTTATGTTCTTACATATCTTCCCTCTTACCTGAAACTTCCAGCATGTCCTCTTAGTTGTGGCCTATTCAGGGACATCACATAGATCATGATAGTAACAACCCACTGGCGGTTTAAATTACCCACATCAGAACTCTGTTTCAAACTCCAGATTTTTAATCTAAAATGTGTGTTTTTGTAGTAGACCAAACATCAAGATGGAGCTCCTGAATTTGAAGAGAAGCATAAACTTGAACTTTCCTATACCTGGTAGTTCAGACTTGTTTCATTCTACAGAATACAGTAGGTTGAAGCTGCGAATTTTGAGCAAGACCTGGGGGATTCAGAAATGGGTATTTGGCTCAGTTTTAGTCGTGTCACCTCTTAATTGTCTTCCCTCTAGTGTAAACAGCCTCAAATGCCATCCGTCTCTGCTCATGTGAGCTCCTCCACACCATGCAGCTTCTATACTGGCCTGCATTAGATGCTATAACTATCTCACTTCAGATAGTGTGACCAGACCTGGATGGTAGCCTCCAGATGCTGAGTATTTCTTTATAAAGTACTAGTGCAGTATCTTTGGACTGTGCTTAGCCCCTTCAAGTGGACCAAGACTTGAAATACTGGATCTGTCATTACGCCTGAATCCTGAGGCCATGTCTACACTGTCAGAGAAAATCAATGCAAGATACGCAACTCCAGTTATATGAATTGCATAGCTAGAGACCACGTACCTTGCACCGATTTTTCTGGGGCAGCCCCACGGCAGGAGGTTGATGAGAGAAATGATCCCATTGACTTCCTGCACCAACAGTAGCATCCTCAGCATTCAGTTTAGCGGGTCTTTATTACACCCGCTAAATTAAACCCTGAAGGATCCATCTCCAGAGCATTGATTCTCTGGCAAGTGGAGACATGGCTTAAGTAAACTACATTGATAGGCCCCATGAAAATACTTTGGTAGACCAAGAAAAAAATCTCTATTTCAGTACCATTTCAAGGGCTTTTAGGTTAAGGCTGTCCCTTCCCAAGTTCATCCCTTTACACTTAGACACCTGACACCAGATTCTTCCAGGTTCCCATAAAAACTCCAACTAAGCCAGACCAATGAAATCCATAACCAAGCTGCAGTTCTTTGACTCTTGTTTAAGATTTCACACCAATTGTTTGGCATGTGGCCTCCAACCTATGCCATAATGGTACGAAATTAATACTGGTAATTAACAGTTGTCTACCCAGTGCCTAATTAATGAAAAGTTCAATGAGAATTTGTTCATGACAAGGCTCATTGCTTATGCAATCATGTATCCTGTTCCCAAACAGGTGAGAGAACTGGAGATGGCAGCCTGTAGACCTGCCTGTGAGCTTCTAATTAGTATGTTTACTGGTAGGAAAGCTAGCAGGATATTCCTCTTCCACCGCATTGGCTTTTTGATAAGTTGAACAGTTCCTGTGTTGTCACAGGGTATGTTCTTTCCCCTGTGAAACAGGTGTGTATTGAATTGAGTTGAGGCCGACATGGCTCTTAGGATGGGCACTTGGAGTGGGCGGAACTTTTCCATCTTGGTGCCATTCTCCAGATGACTCAGCCCAGACACCAAAAGTGCTGTCTCAGTGCTGTCTTACCTTCTCAATAGACCAGCCCAACATGAATCTGGGCTCCAATGAGTGCTACCAACAGATTACAGGTCCCTCCTGCCATCTTTGGAAAGGGGGATGGAAGAAAGGGTACAAAACCAGCTTGCTATGGAGGAAACTGGGAGCACGTAAAGGGTGGGAGTATGGTTGCCCTTCTCTGCGAGAGAGAAGGGAGCACTTTACCACACCAAGGATGGCCGTATTGGGGCCGCATTTTGTCTGTGAGCACGAGAGAGAGGCCATTAGTGCTGCCCTCACCTGGCCTCCTGCATGCTGGGATGCAACAGGTGAGTGTCCATGGTGTAGTGGTGTCTTAGGGAAGTAGCTGGCTCTGGTGATTGTGCACCCACAGTATCTGTTCTTGGCCTCTATGGGCACAATGCACAACTGCTGCTATGGCAGGGCACCTCTTCCTCCCTGCCCCACACTGGTCAGGCCCTTGGAGCCCTTTCGAAGCACTGGGACTCATACAAGGTGTGGTCCAGAGGATGTAAAGGAGCCCTTTCGAAACACTGGGACTCATACAAGGTGTGGTCCAGAGGCTGGGGGGATCATCTTTTGGGCGAGATATGAAATCAATGCTTGGCGCACTGTGGTCATTAAGCATGCCAGGGCATTTGTCGCAAGAGAAGGCCTTTGGGCAGGCCCTCTGACAGCAGGGGGAAAAGGGAACAATTGCCCTGGGGCCTAGAGCTCCTGTCTGCCACTGCCACTACTGCAGCAACCCCTTGAATTTCTGCCTGAGCACCACTGTGTGCAGCTCTGAGGGTGGAGGAGGGCACGTGCCATGGTCTGGATGCTGCTAAGCGCTGACTGTCCTTGGCCCTGCACTTTCTGCTTGAGGACTTCTGAGGTATGGGGAGCTGCCCCTCCCCCCCAAATACACCTGGTCCCGGGCCAGCGTGCCATGGTCTGGATGCTGCTAAGGGCTGACTGTCCTTGGCCCTGCACCTTCTGCTTGAGGCCTTCTGAGGTATGGGGAGCTGCCTCCCCCCCCCAAATACACCTGGTCCCGGGCCCCACAGTGGGTGTTAGTCTCACTTCCTTGGGGGAAGATTTTCAAAGGCATTCTGTGTCTAAAGGTGTAGCCGGGTGCCTAATTGGATTTTCAGAAGTTCCCTACGCAGGCTGGACCCTTAAATCCCATTGATTTCAACGAGAGTTAGGTGCCCAACCTGCCTTACCTTTTGTGAAGAACTCGCTAGGTGTCTAGCTGCACCTTTAGGGACCTAAATACCTTTGGAAATCTGGCCCTGAGATATTGCACCGATGGGAGATCTATAAAGACCTAAACACCAGTGTTCCAGCTACATTCCTAATGGTTTGCTTCTTCCTGCCTAAAAACCAGTGTTCCAGGTACATTCCTAATGGTTTGCTTCTTCCTGTATTCCAGTTGATATTTTCCTGCATGTCCATTCATAAATTAGGTCAGATCCTGCAGTCTTAGTTCAAATGAAGAGACTCACTGAAATCAAATTAATCCCCTGATGTCAATGAAATCATATTGATAAGCCTGAAGCTGTAAGAATATTCATGGGAGGGAGGGTTGTAGACTCGGCTTTTATGCAGCATTGCGGGGTGCCGTTATACTGCTGCCATTTACTGCATAGAACTTCACGAAAAGTCAGTGCTTTTTCTCCCAGGTCATTTCTCTCATTTAGACCCACAATGGGTCAGGCATCCAAATAACTCTCTCGAGTTTTGGGGTTTCAACCAACCCAAAGTCTCCACACAAAAGTCACTTGAAACCCTCAGATTTCACCTGGTCTGGCATCAAAACCATGTCAAACTGCAACATGTTATGAAGGTGGTGCCAAAGCATGTACAATATTCAGTGGTGTTCCACACAGACCCAAAACAGAATGGGAGATTTCGACAGAAGTTTCCTGGACCTTAGGAGACCTCTTTTTAAACCTGTAGTGAGTTTTAGCAAAAACCTGGTGAGTTTCAAATGCTTTCCTTGCAGATGTTTTACATACTCTTAATTGTTTGCAGCCCCTATAGGATGCGTGTGAAAAGGTAGTGAGCTTATAAAACACTAGAAATGTAACTAGTTGTCCATTCCCTGAATTAACCTGGGTTCATTCTCCCCTCCCCATCAACCCATTCTCTGCAGATGTTCAGCATATTAAGAGGAGAGACATTGTTCTGAAGAGGGAACTGGGAGAAGGTGCCTTTGGGAAGGTGTTCTTGGCCGAGTGCTACAACCTTAGCCCCACCAAGGACAAGATGCTGGTGGCTGTGAAGGTAAGTCTCAAGGAAGCATACAGCAGAATGTAATGGAGGCTGAACAACTAGCTGGTTGATATTGTGTGAGAAGAACAGGAAAGCGGAAGTTGGGGGAGGTTTATCAGATGCAGTAGATTGTGGTAAATCCACTTAGTCACATAAAGTTTCAGCATTTTGCTTCAAGGTCATTCCTTCTCATCAATGCCAAAACCTCCTTTCCTTTCCTTTCCTGTTGATCTGGCCAGGAGGCACTGAGGAAAAGCTGCACTGCACTGGTCTGGAAGCTAACGCTGACATGCAGCTGTAAAAACAATGTATGGAATTCACCTGCCCTCTCCAAGGGACTGTGGGTCCTCCTTTCTCCCCCCTTTGCTCAGCCTTTTGTTTTACCTTTTGCTGCAACTGTACGTGAGAAGCTGATGCAAAGAGGTCTCAGCAAAATATACACACACAAAAATCTAAAACACAAACCAAAATAATCACATAGAAATAGTTTCCTGGGATGATCCGCAAGATCCTCCAAGAACGATTTCCAGCTGAGATCTGCCCCGACAAGCTTGGCCAGACAGTTTCAAGGTAGAGGACTTCCAAGAGAGAGGCCAGCTCAGCGTGGCTACTGCTGTCTCAGGCTGGGTCTACACTGCATCGTTATTTTGAGATAACTAGCTTTATTTCAAAATAACAATGCCAGCGTCTACACAGCCATTCCATTATTTTGAAATAATTTTGAAATAACGTCTGGTTTATTCCGAAATCCATAAACCTCATTCTACAAGGAATAACGCCTATTCCAAAATAGCTATTTAGTGTAGCTATTTAGTGTAATATAATTTTGAGACTAATTTTGAGGCTTCCCTGCAGTGCAGATGTGCTATTTCAAAATAAGCTATTTCAGAATAACTATTCTGGAATAGCTTATTTGGAAATAAGCATGCAGTGTAGACGCAGAGACTCAGGACACATTTGTACAGCAAATCCAGGCCTTGGGTGAAGGAGTCTGTTTAGGTGTAAGCGTGCTTTCCTGTCCTTCTGCAGTCTGTTGTGTTGTACATTGAAGCTGGAGGTACTTCAGAGGTGGCAAAGTCTTATGAAACATGCTTTGTGATCCTGACAAAACGCACTCTGGAGATGTATGTCTGTAGCAACAATTAGTGGGAGATAGTTGAGATACCACTTCTACCTACAAGCAAATGAAACTCAGTCAAGCTCAGGGTTGGATGTTGTGGAGAGGCAGGCGCAAGTTGGGGAACCAGGTTCACACCATGGCACACACTGTGTTCTGTGAAAATTAATCAAGTGTGTAGTTATTGTATGCATCTGTAGTATAAGGCGAAAGGGGGGCACCTTGCCGTTCAGGACCAAAACATACCAGGAAATGTGAGTTTAAAAAGTGTCTTAAAAGGTTGATTAAATGATTCTTTCTGTGGGAACAGGATGACTCGTGTTCAGGAGAGAGAGAAGATTTTTTTTTTCTAAGGTATCAGTTCAAAGTTAAAATCACTGACAATGATTTATGTAGCTACAGTGGATTAATATAGTCAGCTGAAGCCACAATGGGAATGTAGGGAGCAAGTTTAGGCAGTAATGCAAAATCTGAACCCAGGCCAGCAGAGCTTAAAATCAGTGCCAGGAGGTCTTTAATGACTGCAAGTGCCCGTGCTACCTGTTTTGCATCCACAAACCTACCTGCAGCAGCATCACACCCCATTGGACTGCACAGGCATTGGTTCAGTGGTGGGTTAGATGGAAGAGTGCCACCTGCTGGAGCATCAATACAACTTCTTCCAGCACCCTGGGTTTTCCTGGGAGATCTCTCAAGCTCACACAGACTCACCCTCCTGAAAACTGAAGGAGATAGCAAAGAGGTGAATGAGTAATGAGCCCCATCCTGCAACAGAAAAGCCCACAGGCCTCAGCAACACTGGTGCTTGGTTTATACCACTGCCCATTACTGAGGTTGCCTGACCCTTCCCATTGTAAGAAACTTTTTTCAGTTGCTAATATATTTGCCAGATTTTAACCATTTAGGCTGAAGATTCCCATGCTGGGTGTCAGCCTCAGGCTGATTTTTTTGAGGTGGGGAGGGGGCGCGGGTATTTCAACTAAAACAATCCATCTGCATCCAAAAACGAGGCTGGGGAAAATGCATTGTTTGGCCCCGGTTAAAGAATGGTGTTGACATTTTGTTTGCAAAGCTCTAGAACGCCCCCATGCTGTGGAGCCAGGAACCTGAAATTTGGTAAGGAAATAGACTAGACTGGGAGCTAGGGAGAGAAATAAAGGCAGAGAGAAGCGCCTGAGAACCTGTAGATGGAGGCGTGTCTGGGACTAGATGAGAATCAGTGGTGGAGAGAGGAGAATGAGACTAGCTGGGCAAGGAGACTAGGTCTGAGAAGCAGTGGGGTGGGCAGAAGAAGTTACGGTGTCCGCTGACTATCTGGCCGAGATTCTCTGCTTGGTGCCCCCTTCCGGTTCCCTCATTTTGAATGTCTGACCTGCACCCCTAACCCTGTTTTTCATTAGTTGTCCCAAGTAATCAGTTGAGCCCTGGGCCCAGCAATCTCTCCCGCAAGGCTGAGGGTGGCACTGTTAGAAGTGGGTGGGCTTGCACCTGCCAACCTCCCAGGAACTGAAATAGTGGGCAGAAGAAGTGGGAGGGAAGATCGATTTATTGAGGAGCTATGATGCATGGGCAGACCTGGGCAAGGAGATGGGGTAAAGAACTAGGGATCGTGGGGGGATGAGGCACTGACATTGGAGGAGCCCTGGGAGGGAGATTGGCCCTGGGGGCCAGTGGGGATGGGGAACCCCAGGGGGAGGAATGGGCAACTGAAGGCCAGAGTGAGTGAGGGTGACAAATCAGATGAGGAGCTGTGGTGGGGTGGGGAATTAGGACTGTGTACACTAGGTGACAGAGGCAGGAATGAGTGGGGTCTAGCACTGGCTGAATGAGGAGACTGGACTGGGACATGGAGCTAGGGTGTGGAGAATAGACAAGAGTGGAACAAGAGTAGTATGGAGGAGTCAGAACACAAAGGATCATGCTTGGAGAGACTGGAATGGTACCTGAGATTCCAATCTCCCTCTCCCTCTGCTGTCAATAAATATCTGTGAACTCCACTGACAAAATATTCCCTACCCCAAGTGCTAGTCCATATAGAGAATGACAGCCTGTTATTATTACCCATTAACTTAACTGGCAGAGATCTGTGTAGTGGATATAAAGGCTCCAACCCTATTGATCACCCATGTTGTAGTCAATATGATGCCACTCAATGACATTTTTATTTTCTCAATTTGCTTTTTTTAAAACTTGGGAAACAACAACCCAAAACTATATTAGTGAGGTTGTAAGGTCAAGCAAACTTATGATAAGCAATGCAAGCATTAAAGTAGCCTGCTCTGAAGATAGAATAAGTAGTATCTTCATAGACTTCTCTGTGGTCTTTGTCACAGTATTATCTGAGGGTATGTCTACACTTGCGGCCTAATTCAAAATAGGGCTGCACATGTAGGCATCCAAAATTGCAAATCAAGCCCGGGATTTAAATATCCCATGCTTGATTTGCATCTTCCCGGCTGGGCACCATTTTTGAATATGACAAGACCGGAATAACTGCCCGCGTCTACATGTGGCAGTGAAACGGGTGTTCGAAATAAAGCCCTATTTCGAACTACCTGTTAAACCTCATTGCAGGAGGAATAGCTGGTAGTTCGAAATAGGGCTTTATTTCGAACGGCCGTTTCACTGCCGCGTGTAGACACGGGCAGTTGTTCCGGTCTTGTCAATTTCAAAAAATGGCGCCCGGCCGGAAAGATGCAAATCAAGTGCGGGATATTTAAATCCCAGGCTTGATTTGCAATTTTGGATGCCTACGTTTGCAGCCCTATTTCGAATTAGGCTGCAAGTGTAGACATACCCTGAGTGCTTCACAGTTATTAATGAATTTATCATTTCAGCCCCCTCTGTTATCCCCTTTTACAGATGGGGAATTGAGGTGCTGATCCTTGGTCTACACTAGGACTTCATTTTGAAATAACTCCCCCAAGCACAAATTTATAAGCAGTGCATCCACACTACCAAGCCCTTTATTTCGAAATAACGGGCAGCAGAATTCGAACTCTGTACACCTGGTTTTCATTAGGAGTAACTCTCAATTCAGAATAGTAATTTTGAAATAGCAGTAGTGTGGACACTCCGGTGCCCCTATTTCAGACTAATTATTCCCCAGAGTAATGTGAACTAGTTACTCCCCAGTGCTTCCTGGGGCTCTAAGTCTGGGGTAGCACACCCATATTAACAGAGCTTGCCTTGGCCTAATTTTGAGGCTTTGCCGTAGTGTGGACGTTCTAGTTTGAATTTGTTAAATTGGGAGTTCTTAAATTGAATTTAGTAATTTCAAAATAGCTTCCTAGGGTAGATATGGCCTGAGAGATTAAAGTGAGAATTACCCTCTTATGCCATTTTGTGAAACTTTTATGCCAAGGTGTTGCATGCAGCGGGTAATTGCATGCCACATTGACTTAAGTTGCAGCCATGAGAGCAGAGAGAGCTGCAAATCAGACCTAGGTCTCCACTCAGGCATGAGAAAAATGAACTCACAGTTAGTGACTACTTGTGTAAAGTTAGGTTCAAGTGACTTTGCCCAGCATGCAGAGGAACTCTGTGGCAGAGTCAGAGATGGCAGATAGTTCTCCTGGGCAGCATTCAACAGCCTTAACCATAAGACCTTCCTTTCTCTTACCTCTTGTTTTCAACCTCATTGACTACACACCTTCCAATGTCTACATTTCCTGACTTTGAAACGCTTGCCTTTACAAACGTAACAATGTTCCTTTAACATATATATTCCCATTACCTTGTAAAATCAACAGTGTATTAAGGGAACTTAAAAGTCATTGTACCTTGAAATATCAGGCCTAAATATAAGGAGGGGAGAAAGGATGATTGAGGGGAGAAGAGAGCTATTTTCCTGGAAGGGTGTAGCAGCAATACTATAAAGATATTAAATGACTAAGAATAAGCCGAGGCCTGAGATGAGGATGGATGTTTTGCCATCTTCACAGTGTGACTATCATCCATCTAAATATCTCTGGGTGGCTATCCCTTGAGGGCAGAGAATTAAAATGAAATTATGCCATGTGTCGAGTGGGTGTTGGGCAGAGGAAGGGACAAAGAGGAGTGGCCCCCTGCTTGGATAATATCCTGTAGAGATTGGTTGAGAGGCAAAAGCACTTGCCACTTTGTTAGCTTAATTCCTACCCTGACAAAGCTGCAGGACAAGCTGGATTTATTTTCAGCATCTTGCTTGGTAGAGCCACTTGCTCAAGACACATCAAATGAGTAGAAGCTTCCTAAATGCTTAACATTTGTCCAATCTGGTGCAACATTTACAGCCATGTTCTGCTGACCTTGCTCATACCATCTGTACCTTTGAATTCCTGGCATGAGTAAGATGAGCCTTAGTCCTGAATCAGTGGGGTGACCATATCAGTTTACAGATTGACAAGAGAAGGACAGGGTTTTGTGGTAACTCCGGTGACACAGAAAGATACTGGTAAGCAGACAGCAGATATCCTGGTAGGAAGGGCACCTAAAAGGAAGTAATTTCAAAAGATATTGATAAGATCAAGTGGCACTAAATCTGACCGGCCTTTTTGGATGCATAAATGTTTGCAGTCCATGGCACTTGTAATGATTCCCTCAAAACTTCTGGACTCTTTTTTTCTAATTCAATTGCTAGAAAAGCACAAATTACCCTACAATAACAAAATGGGGCCGTAAACAAACCTCGTAACCAGCCGTTCAATAATAAATAGCGTGCCCAGCCTCACAAGGAAACTGACTGTATACTCAAGAAAAGTGTCCAGTCAAGTCTTTTAGCACCCCTATCATAACATGTGTTGTAAGCCCCATGCTTGTAAGCTACCCAGTAACAGCAAATTGGTGTGCTCCAATGTTGTAAAGGAGACGTTTTTGGTAAGAATATTGATTTCAGCATCAATCTCTCAGGGATCTGTTATAAACAGCAGGGAATAAAAACACAATTTAAAAATGATGAGGAAAGATTTGACACTGTCCTTCTTCAGAGGCATTTTTGAAAAATCCTCACAATAACTGCACAGCCTAGCAAATCTGTCTTCAGAAGAAAGGAGGTGCCGTCAGCTATTTCAAAATAAAAGAGCTAGAGGGGGCTGACTGGCTCAGGAGCTGAGTCATAATGAGATACGGAGCCTTTCGCCCCAAGGTCACCAGTTGAAATCCTTCCCAAGTTGGTAATAATGGGAAGCTATTACCCTCCGAGGGCTGTTTGCTGCTCTCTGTGAAATGAGTCTGGGAATGAGTTCTGCTGCCAAGTGGGCTGTTGTCCACATAGGTAGAATCTGCACCCTAGACAGAGCACTGGCGGCTCCTTGTTGACAAGCTCAGCGGTACTGAATGTCACCATGGAGCGTACCAACTCCTGCAGGAGGTGCCTCCGAGGCAAGATTGAGGCACACAAGAAGGGAGTAAAGGCCGTTTGGGCAGCATCGTGAGAAGACTATGAGCTCAGGGATGGGGACCAGAGGGAAGCC